ACTTACCCCCCCGTCTGGAAATTTCCATGAGACAGCCTCATTATATTGGGAAGTTGCACATACCAAAGGGGTTTGAAAGTTGTGGCATAACTGCCTTCATACTGACCTGGTGTGTATAAGGGGTCAAACAGTACGTCCCATGGGTAAAAATAGCATGGCTGAATGCTGCTATATTCCTCAAAGGGTATAGTTTTGGGTCCAAGTTTATCTCTCCTGTTGTCAATGGCTGGATGAGGGGGTTCAAGTCGAGACCAAATGGTCACGTTTATCTTTGGGCGTGTGGCTTTACAGGACTCGTGGTGGAACGTCCAGTCACGAGGTGCATCAGGAGGAGGGTTCTAAGTTTGGTAAGCTCCATGCACCACAGCAGTACCTTCCCAGTCTCTCCAAGCTGCCTTCTTTTTCCTTGTCCACTCGGTGGGGAGGTACATGGCAGAGGTTGCATTGGTCATCTTGAAGATCAAGGATAAATTCAGTGGTATCAGAAAAACTCACAGACTTTGCTCAACAGATTCCTGTAAAGCAACACCTTGGCCAATTTGGCTCCATCCTTTGCAAACCCTTTGACCGATTCCCAGGAGAGGGTTCGATGTATCTCACCCGCAGCGTTCTGCTCTGCTGAGCACGTGCACAGCGCAAAGAACCACATAAACATCCCCAACCCATTGTAACTGCAGTTACCAACAGGCTTCGGGTGAGAACGGGGAGCCAGAGTGCAAACCAGAGGTCTTGCATACACAGCTCCAGGGATTTTCCACATTAAACAGCTACCTGCAAAAGCAAAGACAAAATCTGCTTGGCCCCTTCCAGGGCCGACATTGCAGTGAAGGGCTAATCCACCCAGCACTTAATTTACGGTCTTTGCCATAAGCGTCTTTTGCTCTCCAGGTGTCCATCCTTAAGGGAGCAGTGAGGACCATGGGTACGGCTCCTGCAGTGGGCACTTCCACTCGCTATTCACTGCAAGTGGTCTGACCTCACCTGTGTCTCCTGGATATTTCTTGCTTATCCTTGAGTAATGCCAGCAGGGGACACAGTTTTGTGGCACTGAGGCCTGCAGTTTGCAAGGGAGATGAGATCAGTGTCTTGACACCTCAGTCAGCCTGCACTCAGGCCAGAGGCACAATGTTGATAAAGAAGTTCAGAACCTGACCCACCAGAAGAAAAGGATCTCTGCTCATATTTTCATTTACCTCCTGGGTGAAGGCCAATTTCTACAGGCCCCTGTGTGGATGGATGGGTGATGGATGCAGGCAGCGATTACTGTCCTTGGACTGCCCTGGCCCAGGGGGTTCCCAGGGACTCCAGTGTGAGAGCCAGAGTGGTTAATCTCAATACTGACTTGTGAATGATGCCAGCCCTGTCTGCCTGCCAAAACCCGGCTCCTGCCATGGCCTCAGCAGTGGTAGGGCTGGATGGGGAACTGACCCCGGCTGCCCCTGCCCATGTGTGCTGGCCATGGCCTGAGACTGGGCAACAGAGGGGAGGAGAAGGAGGAGATGAGGCCATGGGCCATCCCTGAGGCAATTCCACCCACCCACACTCCTGCCATCCTTTGGAGACATCTACTGGCCTCTCCTTCTTCCCCAGCACAACTCTGACCAGAGCAGGAGGCACCTCATTCCCCTGAGCCTGCAGGGTGCCTTGTCTCCATGGACTCCCACAGAGTCACAGCTCCTCACTTGCACCTGAGGTAGAAACCAGCCCCTGCACTCACACGTACTGGAGAGCCACTGCCGAGGAAGCAGATGCACAGGCAAGGATGGGTGGATTTAAGAGACACACAGCTGGATGTGAGACAGCAGCATCCCCTTGCAGCAAAGACAGCCAACTGCATCCTGAGCCCCCTCAGTCAAACTCTTGCCAGCAGGTGCAGGGAAGGGTCCCTGCCCCTCGGTCCCCTTTGAGACCACAACTACAGTCCTGCTTCCAGGCTGGGGCTCCCCGCTCAAAGGAGCGTATTGACACTCTGAAGGGAGTCCAACAAAGGCAACCAAGGGCACTGTCAAATGACCTGTGAGAAGAAGCTGAGACAACTGGGTCAGCCACTGCTGGAGGAGAGATGGCTCAGGGAATGACTTCTCGCTTCCTCCAGCTACTTTTTCAGAGCAGACAGATGAGATGGACTAAGACACTGGAAGTGCTCAGCAACAGTACGGCAATGGACAAGCACCTGAGACACAGAGAAATGCATTCAAGCAGTAGGCCAGTAGGAATAAAGAGTGGAAACAGTTTTTAAAGGAAGGTTGTGCAATCTGCATTTTGGGAGGTATTCAAGGTGGATATGACTGTGACCTTGAGGCTCCTGTTGTAATGGAATCCATTCTGAGCAGGGGGTTGGTGCAGATGACCTCTGGAGATGCCTTCTCTCCTACATTCTGACTCTGTGATTCGACCTCCTCAGCTGCCCTCCCTGACCCCCTCCACCTGTGTCACACTTGTGCCCACACGAGCCCTATCCAAGAGCAGCTTTTAGGGATGCTGCTGGGACTGCACAGGGGCAGCTGAAGGGAGGCTCTCAGGCTCCTCACTGCTCTCCGCAAGGAGTCAAGGCGTGGCTGCGCTTTGCGGCCGCTGAGCTCGGAGACGGCCCCGGGAAGCTGCTCCATGTGCTGGGCCAGGGCCCTGCTGCTGCCCCACGCTGCAGCTGGCGCTGTGCAGGCTGATTGTGGCTGGGCTGTCCTTGCTGGAGGAGGGGGAGAGTGCAATTGCCAGGAGACCGAGTTGTGCCCGTGTAGAGCCCTGAGCGCTCTGAGCCCGAGAGAGAACCCGAGCGGGGCCGATGCAGGGCTCAGTCCCGGGGCGGAGCTGGCGGAGGAGGGCAGGGCAGGCAGAGGAGGGAGAGGAGGCGGCCCTTGCGGAGCAGAGAGCCGGGGCTGGCGGGGCATGGGGCTGGCGGCGGGGACCAGCGAGGCCGGGGCTGGGCTCGGGTGGCCACGCACGTCCCTCCAGGCTGCCGTCCTGCATGGCTCCTTCACACACCTCTGCTCCCGAACTGTACTCCTGTCCGTCCTTCCCTCTACTCCATGAAGCATTCCCTAGGATATCTCATCGCTCCTTTCTTTGTCGAACCGTTCCTATTTCCTTGTTTTGTCTTTCATAGAACTCATGCAGTCCACCCTTCCCATTTCCTCCTTTTCTTTGTCCCTTGCTTTGCTTTGTCCCGCAGCCTTCCATTCTTCACTGACTCCCCCAAAACCATCCCTCGATCCTGCACTCATCTCTCCACCAAACTCTAATGGACAGTTCCATTACTGCACACATTGATATCCTCTTTAACATTCTTCTTCATATGGTTGTGACTGCTTCTGTGGGATTTTTCTGAGAAACAACATCCTGTGCCAAAAGCAGTTATGATGGATTTTCTTCTTTATCTCCCCGGCAGTGTCTGCAGGCAGAGCCCTGGTGCAGCAGGACCCATTGGTAGACACCACCGAGGGCAGGGAAATCACCATCAAGTGCTCCCACCCCAACATACGGACCGGCGATTTCATCCATTTCTACCGGCAGCTCCCAGGCCACAGCCCCGAGCTCCTCGAACGGGCTGCTAAAGGGTCCAGAGAGCTGCGGGAGCCAGCGGGGCGGCTGTCGGTGTCGCCAGACCGTCGCTGGAGCACCCTCTGGCTCTCCCGGCCCCGTGGGAAGGACGCGGCCGTGTATTCCTGTGCCCTGGGACACACGGCCAGAGCAGCCGGGGCTGCGGCCGGGCACGAACCGCCGCGGGCGGGGCCGGGCGGGGCCGGGGGCATAGCGCCGGCCGGGGCCTGCAGGGCTTTGTCACATGCTGCAAATCCCACCTGTGCTCACATTCACTGCCACCGTCGGCTCTGCGGCTTTTCATTGTTTCTACAGCTGAGCAAAGGAACGTCCCTGTGAAAACGCCTTGGAGAGGGGGACAATTCTGACCTTGCCTGGAGTGTGGAAAAGGGACAGTCAGGGTCTGCAGGGCTTTGAGTGCCACTCCTGAGGGATCTGAGCACTGCAGCTCAGAGGTGTGCTGAAGAAGGTGGGAAGGCAGACACTGTGAGGGAGCCAGGTACAGACAGGCCAGACCAAGTGTGAGAGGTGGTGAGAGAGGAGACAAAAGCAGTAAGAAATGAGAGACTTCCAGTGCTGTGGCCCTGGCGTCAGGAAGGAGGGTTGCAGGTTTATTCTCTAAGTACAAATGCAGAATGCTCACCTTGCTGTAAATGTGTTCTCTCTGCTCTGATGCCTAAGAAGACAAAACCGTGGCAGGAGCCCCTAGGAGGGTAACCTTGATGCTGCTCTTCCACCTGGGAAGACTGTGACAGCCTCAGAACCCTTCACTTCCCCAGAAACCTCCTTTTACAATCTGAGGAGGCACTGCAGTTTCATGAGAATATTCTTATTTAAACCATTATCATTACCTCTACCATTTTTCACCTCATAGTAGATGTTTTTTTAGGAGCCCCTGGTGGTCTAGTGGTAAGGGCGTGGTGCTGTCACCGCCGAGACTCGGGTTCGATTCCCGGTCAGGGCCACTCCCGGGCTGATGGAGCTCGTTAGCCCTTAAAAAAAAGGCAACCCATCTACGTCCTAAGGACCTCGCTGCCACCGTCCAAGCTCGCTTGGCCCCGGCAGATGAACCTTAGGATTAAAGGGTGGGCTCAGTTCCGCGCACACTGTGTCTCACCTAAAAAATCCAATGCACAGGCTGGAAGGTGTAAAGACCTTCCCCGGATCTTCGCTCGCGAAGACTGGCCATTATTATTAGTACATGTTTTATAGAGCAAAATGCATTTTAGAGGTAACAGTTTGAACAGTGTGGTTTGTGTGCTATGGTGGCTGCCTGGGATCAGTCTGGAGTGGATGCAGAGAAGGGGCTGGCAGTGAGGGTCTCCATCTGCCAAGCCCCCAGCCCTTCAGCTGCCCTTTCAGATGGGTGGGGAAGGGCTGTGCCAGCCCCATCCTGGCAGGCACTCTGGTGGGTGAAAGAACAGTTCATTTCTCTGCCCTCCCTCTTCCTTTGCTCCCCCGAGGCTGTTGTTTCTGGCAGCTCTGTTATCTCGGCACTGGGAGGGGCTTTCTGACTCTCTCAGCAAACAGGCAGGTTGGTCTCAGCATGAACCTCACATATCTCATCCTCACTGTCTGCCTGGGCCACCTACTGGGTAAGTCCTGGCTTTTCATCAATGCACCCTTCTTCTTCCTCCCAGGAAACTCTCAACAGCCTTGTCAGGACCATGTGGGGAAATACCATTGAATGGAGGGAAAATGCTGTGAATTATCTGCTCATATTTGCCAGTTTTCCTGTGTTTGCTCCAGAATCATTTCCCTTTTTAAAGGGAAAGGGAGGAAAAGAGAAGAGAAACCTCAGAACTCTTCTTTTATTTCTCTCCTCTTCAATCCTCCTCCCTCTGCCTCTTTCTTCTGACCCACCTGCTTCACCACAGGAGATCTCCTCTTTGCATTCCTACATCCCTCCTTTTTTAATGCATATTGGCAGATCCTGTCAAATCTGCCCCAGGCAGTTTAAAACTCTCATTTCTCTGACATCAATGGCTGTCCAATTTTGCCTCTTGGTTGCCACAAGCTTCCAATTTTCCTCGCTTGGCAACAAAGCCAGGACTCCTTCTTTCCAAGCCCAGCATTCTGTGAACTCAGGGAGTGAGGAGCTGGTTCGGGCACACAAAGTTCAGGTGGCACAGGCTGTTCCCTGGTGCTCTGAGCAGGAGGAGCAGGAGCAGGGACACAGCACAGCTCTCCTCAGATTCATACTGTGCTGAGAGCTGTGACCTGCTGTCCAAAATCACTCTCACCTGACTGTCTCCAGGTCTCACGACTTCCCTAAAGGGCAGGGAGCTTTCTCCACCAGGCTTTTGCATCCAGTTTGCTTTATCTTCCCATCGTATTTCCCTGTGGAGCTGCTGACCTTCACTTTCTTCCAGGCACCATGGGGCAGATCATTGTCACCCAGGAAGATGGACAAGTCCTGGTGAAGGAGAAAGGCTTCTTCCAGACCACCTGTACATACCAGACCAGTACCTTTGCTGGATTGTGGTGGTACCAGCAGAGGAAAGGACAAGCCCCACAGCTGCTCTCCTCCCAGGCAGGGGCTGGCCAGAGGCAGAGCGGCCGTATCAGCACGTTGCTGAACACCACGGGCAAATACAGTGTCCTGCAGGTGGAGGCAGTGGAGGTCTCTGACAGTGCCTTGTACCTGTGTGCTGTGCGAGACACCCTGGTGCAGGGAGCTTCCTGGGCTGTGCAACAAGCCAGGGAGGGAGGGAAGGGACCCTCCACCGTCCCCTGGCAGCACTGCTTCCTCTGTACCCCCAGAAATCTGCGGGCTCAGACCCTCTTCCAGGACAGGAGAGTGTCAGTGCTTGAGGGGAAAGAGCAGGAGCTGAAACAGTCTCAGGATGGCTCATTCTCCTATGGGTTACATGATTCTTCTTCCCAACATCTCCAGTCAATTGATGGGCAATTCTGGAGGCTGGGACCACTTCTGCAAGGATTCTTTGTGCTGCTCTTGGCTTTCTGTTTTGCCCTGCTGCATGGGGCTCCTCCAGTCTTTCCCCTGGGATTGTCCTTTAGAGTACCTGCCCTGGGATGTGTCCCTCAGAGTTCCGAGTTCAATGGAGGGTGAAAAACAGAAATAACGTGTTATCTGCAATGCTCCTTCCTTGAATTCCATGACTCCAACAATTTTTGAAAGTGCTCAGAACTGTCCTGGGGACCCTCCAGTTGCTGTGTACCAGAAGAGAAGTGGAGGAGAGAGCAGGAAGTTGGGCTGCCTTTTCTACCTGCCCTGCACTGCCACACAACCAGGGGCAGCCTTTGCAGAGGTAACAACTGCCCTACAAGCTCATCTTGTGGTGGATGCCAACCACCACACCGAGTGCTTTGGGCTGTGCTTTCATGTCCTGCACTGCTGCCTCTACATTCCCATATTTGTGTCATGCCCATTCCCCAGGGAAGGCTTAGCCCTGGGATGGAAGGCCCCAGGACTTTTCAGCAGGAATGCAGCAGTGCAGGCAGAAGACTCATCTCCAGTGCTGGAGGGATCCAGAGCAGGACAGTGATGCATCAGCCTGGGTGACTCTGGTGGACACCCTTGAGGTGTCATCCTCAGCAAGAAGTTCCCACCACCCTTAACTGGACACTCCCAGGCTGTTGTGCATGGGGATGATGTCCCCATTCCTTGTCTTTCTCAGCTCACCCTGATGCTCACTCGTGGTTGCCTCCCAATGGGTGTGCATTGGGCTGATGGTTTTGATTCTGTCCTGCCTAATGCTGCCCTCAGGAAAGTGCTCTCGACTAGTTTTAATCATCTCCGTTTTGTGCAGTCTCTGTGTAAAAAAACCTGCTCTTTTCTTGCCTGTCACCTTGTCCTTCCTCTCGATCCTCCAGCTCTGCTGCTTTTGACCTCAGGTGTGCTCAGCAGAGCCCACGGCTGATTGTGTGTTCCTGCCTCGTGTGCTCTTGGAGCAGCTGGGTTTGCACAGACACGTGTGGGGGGCACAAATCTGGGTGTGATTGCACACTGGTGTGCACCATCCTGTGTGGGTGTCCATGTGTGTCGGAGGTGGAGCAATGGAGGCCTATAGAGAATGGAGAAAAATGCAGGAGGGTTTCAAAAGAGCCTCAGAGGAAGAAATCTATCTAGCAGTGCTTTGACAGCTGCAGCTGCAGGAAGTGCCTGAGATCCAGCGATAAGACGCCGCTCCACAGACCCCTGCAGAACCCCCCTATCTGTGCCCCTCACCACTCCTTCCCTTCCTTCCCTAACTCCCAACTCTCCGTATATGGCTGGACATATCCCTGCAGCCAATCCATCCATTTTCCCTTATCTCTGACCCCTAGGATTTGTTGCCCCTGGCAACAATCCCACCTTTGATTGAGACCCTTCCATGTTCCCCTCTATATAAACTGACATCTTGTTTTAATAAACACCATTTTGTGGGTCAAGCTCCTATGTCCTGTCTCCCTTACAAGATGTGCCGCTGGGTCTGTTGCGGGACAAAACCCCACTCGCGACACGTGTGTCACTCATGAGGAGTTGATTTGCTGCCTATTGCAGGGAGATCGTCCTCTGCTCTGGCCCTGAACTCCACAGAGCAGCAGGTTCCAGGCTCAGAGGGAGCCTGGGTGCAGCTGAGCGCTGACGGCACCTGCCCCCTGCAGATGTGTGCAGGGAAGAGGCCCAGAAATGCAGCCCCTGTCTCCTGAGCCCTTCTCTTCCTGGCCC